TACTACTATCTTCTACTAACAGCACTACTAACTGTTCGACAGCAACTGTGCTGAAGAGCTAACCTCACTAGTAGCAGTTAATCAACCCCCCCGAAAATCAAATTCGATAGATAACAACGACAACGGAACAATTTCCTCTGCCATCAGTCATGCTTACTATGTAACCGAACGAGTACTACATATTTCACCGAATATTCTCCTCTCCCTATTTTCCTTCTAAGCGACAATAACAACAACTTCTCATGCCAAGGCTCACAACAACAAAAAAAGGAACTTGTGCCAAGAGCACACCCTAATTCTTCCTTGATAAGAAGGTTAAAACACTACTACTAAATCAGCACTAAAACTACCCATAACCCATTCCTTCAAATCCATCCTCGCTGCGTCGTCCTGCACTAGCGCCGGAACCGCGAACTAAACAAGCAAATCAGGGGTCCCAAGCACACCATAACGTCCCTTTTTCCTCTTCTTTTTCGGCCCCTCTCTTTTCTCTTTTCTCTTTTCTTTTTAAAATGATCATCGTATACCAAGTGATCCGGCAGTAGTGTGCGGATTATCATAATTAAACTGAAATATTCTTATCTTCACTATTTTTAATACTATTTATTTGGGCATCACTACTATATAACCAAACCAACTTGAAGACATGACAAAAGAAGGATTAAATATCTACGGAGTATCTATACTACAAACTAACTACGATGAAATATAGACTAGTGGGTGGCTCAGCAGAGATATTTCTCCAACTAGTAGTAACAGTCGTAAGTAACTTCACGAAAGTTATTATTTATTTATCTACTATTTACTTCAGGCTCAGACTCAGACCTACCTCACCCCCTCTCTGAGTCCCTCTCTACCCGAATCACCAATTCCGACTGGTTAAAGTTCCCTGCAAAGTGGAGGCGATGATCTACGCCGGCGGCCGCCACTTGAGACGGGCGGTCAATCGGGAGGCGTACGGGAGTAGAAACTGTTTAGTTTTTGTGTTTGGGGCTGGTCCGGTCCTGTCTTCTTGTTTCTCTTCTTGGCAGAGGTGGTTCTCGGATGGCTGATGTTTGAGGTGGTGTGTGTTGTATTGTGTTGATTTGTGTTGGATTATGTGTTGTTGTGTTGAGACGGTGAAGATATATCCATCCATCCATCCCATCTTTCGTAGAATTTATGATTCATGCAGTGGGTGAGTATTTTAGTTTATTGACTGCCTCTTCGTATTCAATGCCACCACCACTACCACTACTGTGGAAGTAAGTAAGTACCTTCTGGACCAGATCGGGATCTAGGCAAGATGCGAGCCGACGACTGAAGAAAAAAATAATAAAATTAAAGAATCGAAAAGTATAATTAAATAAATAAAAGAGAATTAAAAAAAATTAGAATGAATAAATCAAAATGGGAAAGACTAGAACTAACTAGGTTATTGTTATCACGGCGCGGCCCTTGTTCAAACCAACTCAATTCGATCCGGTATCTTCCGTTTTTCTTTCTTTCTTTGCCTAGAAACTCTACTACATCTAGTACTACTAATACTGTGTAGAATAACTTGTGATAGATAGGTAGGTAATCCGTCATTATGCACTTACATATTTAGTACCTGTCAGGACCTGCAGATAACAGAAAAAGGAATGAAGTAGAAAAGAAGAAGCAAAAAGATATATATTAAAGCTTTTTTTATTATGCCCCTTGTCAACTCTCTCACACACACTCTCTCCTTTAGCGAGGTTCAATTAATTTAATAACTAACTTACTGTAATTATCCCGCTCCCCTCCCTCTCTCCGTTTGTGGCCAAACCCGAGAACCAGTCATATTGCACAGCCCGAGCGAAGTATGTATGTATGCATGCATGCCTCGCTGCATGCTTACACAACCGGTTCTGCCACACATTTAGTAGATAGATACCGAATGATCTGTTGTATTACTATACTCTCTCGGTTTAGTGTGCTACTATCTTCCGACACGACCAAGAATCTTGGCCTGAGGCCAAGACAAAAAAGACCAGGAATACGGAAAAGCCCAAGAAAGAGGAAACAACTATCTAAATTCGGGAATTGGTTGGGATTGTCTTCCAAGGCTCGGGTATGCAAGCCAAGACAACACGAGAGAATGAGAAGAAATCTTGCAGTGTCAGTTGTTGTTCTCGACCTGTCTATCTATCTATCTGTTTGTCTGTCTGTCTGTCTGCCATACTGCAGGAGGTATCGATTGTTGGTTAGGCTGAAATCGGTGATTATCAGTCATTCATGACATACCTGTGCATTTGGCTAGTTAGTATACAGTAGGATGTCGTCACATCAATATCACTATACGCTAATTTATCACAACTATACTAGCTAGTTAGTTAGCTATCTACTGACTGTAGATAACTAGTATACGTCTACAGTAGCAGCTTGACAGGCCTAAACTAGCACTACCACTACTACAAATTCAATTAATTTATTCCAACAACAGCAACACAAAAGTAATATACACATACATATGCACTTCATCTATTTTTAATACTAGTAGTAGTAGTAGTAGTAGTAGTAGTAGTAGTAGTAGTAGTAGTAGTAGTAGTAGTAGTAGTAGTAGTACCCGCAAGGTTTGCGCACGTACAACACCTCTGTCATCGTCATTCTTATCTTCAGAGCTCGATCAGCAGCAGCAGCAGATCAGATCAATTAACATACTCGGTATAGCGTATATGTATTCTTCACATGGGACCTGGCAGACACATCTTCTCCTCTCACACAATCTCTGCCTATCATTCTCATTGAAAAGTACTTTGACGTGCCGATATCTGAGACATCCCCTCCCTCCATCCATCATCCTTCCAAAACTTCCATATGCCCGTTTGTAACCACTCACAGAATTATAAACAAACACAGATAATTGAATAAATAAATAGAAAAGAGATAGATAGATAGATAAAGACCCCTGTTACACAGTAAGCGAAGCACACAGTAGAAGGTAAACTACTACCTAATGACTCCTCACTAATCCTGCACCTATAAGTCTTGGCTGCAGCCCGAAGGGAGGGGCAATTAATTTATTCACCAACCTTTTTGCTAAGGTGTCCCGTTTGCCTCTTTCCCCCCTCTTCGCTTTTCTTCTGTTCGCTTCGCTTTCGAAGTACGCAATACACTGCACGGGAGTAGAATCCCTGTCTTGCCGGTGCCGACCAGAAGGATTTGGTTACTCGGTATGGTGGTTCCTTGTCGGGATGAGGAGGAGAGGGGGGGGGGAAGGTAGTCGGTAAACCTGCTTTCTTTCTATTTTATTTTCTTTTCAACTATAGAACTGAATGTGGAAGGGAGGGAGGGAGTAGCGTTACACAAAAAGTACTATTATCTATTTATACCATACCATCAAACTTATCAATCTATATCACTCCTGTGTTATTAACCTTCAATAGGATGGAGATATTTCTTCTTCAACATCAACTAGTATAAGTATATCATTGAAAGTTAAGCACACCCCCCTCTTCATAGTACTCACCACTAGACACCACTACCACCAAGTAAATGAATTCAGCCACCTCGATTCCTAAAACCAGGGTTACCCCCACAACCCGAAAGCCATCACCAGAATAAAATGCAACATCGGGAAGCCGACGGACAGACCGGCATGCAGACAGAGCAGTTAGGACACACACGGGATGTTTCAGCTTTCTAAGCCACACACACACATCGTTGGATTGGGCCGAAAAAACTAAAGCAACTAAGATGTTAGCTAAGACTACGGATATTAATTAGTTGAGTGACAATAGTATAGTATAGTATAGGATAGGATAGTATAGTATACCGGGATATGAATCACCCTAAGTCGCGGCTAACTAGCTAACTAACTTAACTAGCTAACCAAAGTACGTATGTACACAGTAGTAGCAACGTAGTAAGTAGCAACGTAGTCTAGACCAGGACTACAGACAGCCATGCACGATTGCATAATCCCAATCCCAATAACTTTGAACGATAACAACGAAGAAATGTGATTGATTGGCCTTACAGGGTCAGACACTAGATTTTCACAAAGCCAAACAGAGTAAGTGATGTACACAGCCTACTTACTTGCTTGCTTGCTTTCTAGCCAAAGTATATTATAATTATTATTATTTTATTATTATTGTGGTAGCCGAATAATGATCCATGATGATTGATGATGATGGAAGTGATTGTCTGTCACGGCTGCTTGAAGCGGCAAATGATCTGATCCTATCGGATATTCAGTCCAGTCCATCAAGTTCAAAGTGTCTTGGTCTTGTTCCCGGCCCGGTGCCAAGCCCCAACATTCCCGAAACAATGGGCTATCCTTTTGCTCGGCCATACTGGCTGGGAGGATTCCGGGTATGTCCGATATGCCGATTCCATTCGGTTTAGTTTGTTGCAACTTGCAAGTATGTGCTTGGTGAGAATTGAGAAGGTTTCCCGGGTGTCCTCAGTCATCTCATCTAGGCTAGTTTAGTTTAGTTTAGTTTAGTTCAGTCTGGTCAGTCTTCAGGCAACCATCCTTCAGCTACTAACTAGGCTTCTAAGCGGGCCTTGCACGTTGGCACTCACTCACTCCATTTTATTGAGTTTGGACCCTGCCGTGCTGGGTAGTACCAGACTTCATCTAGATTAATCTACTTTGTAGGATTCTGCTACACGGAGTCCGTGGGTTGCAATAACTACGGTGTATGTAGATCTTGACGACTCCGACTACAACATCAGTTTCAAAGCAAGAAAGAAATTCAGACCAAATTTACACAGGTGAACCTAATTACTTCCTTGCATCTCTAAACATAGGAGATATATCGACGAGAAAAAAGAGAAAATGAGACCAGATATAAGAGACAAAAAGTACAGTGTGGCCGCCATGGCTCGGACATCGAAAGGGAGTCGTCTAATGATAGAGAGATGGAGGGGAGGGGAAGAAGTCAGAAACCCCCGCCCATACTGGGCGAATAAGAGTGGTGAGTTTCGCCCAGGAACCGGCAGGGTTCAAGGAAATGTCTCCGCCTGCGTGCAGACTGTTATCAATTCGTCTAGACCAGATCCCTCTTGACGAATTCGTTCAGCAGCGCCTTGCCCAGGGAAGCGGGGCTGCGCTCGACAACAACACCAGCCGCCTCAAGAGCGGAGATCTTAGAGTCAGCGCCACCCTTGCCGCCGCTGACGATGGCTCCGGCGTGACCCATACGACGGCCCGGGGGAGCGCTAATGCCGGCGATGAATCCAACGGCGGGCTTGTTGTACTTGTTGTTGGCCTTGAGGAACTCGGCGGCATCCTCCTCGGCACTACCACCGATCTCACCAATCATGATGATACCGTCGGTCTCCGGGTCCTCGAGGAAGATCTTCAGGCAGTCGATGAAGTTGGTGCCGGAGAAGGGGTCACCACCGATACCGACGACCAGGGACTGACCAAGACCAGCCTGGGTGGTCTGGTTGACGGCCTCGTAGGTCAGGGTACCGGACCGGGAGACGATACCGACACGGCCACGCTTGTGAATGAATCCAGGCATGATACCAATCTTGCACTGGCCCTATACATCCGAAAATTTCATCATTAGCATCTTGACCCCTGTCCAGAAGGATCGCCTAGTGGTTTTTGGATGCAACTTACAGGAGCGATGATACCAGGGCAGTTAGGACCCACCAGACGGGTCTTGTTCTGCGTCTTCAGGATATCGGTGATACGAACCATGTCTGATTGATTGGTGGTCAGTCCTACACCCAACATGCAGAGATCGTCGGCGCTACGCCATGGCTAATAAACATACCGTGCTGAGGGATACCCTCGGTGATACTATCCCGGTTGTTAGCACATGCTAGGCTCTTCTATCGTCATCCAGAGAGTTTGCCTACCAGACAGCCAGAGGAATTTCGGCCTCGATGGCCTCCTCAATACCCTTAGCGGCCAAGGGGGGGCTAGACTCAATCATTAGCAAATGTTCCTTCTATTCTCGATTAGGACGCCGGAAGCATACGGGACGAAGAGCGCAGTAGCGGTAGCTCCAGTCTCCTTGACGGCCTCGCTCACGTTGGCGAAGACGGGACGGTCAAGGTGCATCGAGCCGGCCTTCTTCGGGTTGGTTCCACCAACGACCTTGGTGCCTAGCAAGTTGTGAGTTTCCCATGTGAAACTGCCGGAGACACCTATCTAATTGGTGCAGACGTAGGAGGAGATAATACCATAGGCGATAGCTTGCTCAGCGTGGAAACTGCGGAAAGACGAAAAATAGCAACGTCAGCATCTCATGCATGATAAACAGCGTTCCCAGCGGATCGGGCAAAAAAGACGTACGTTCCCTGCTTTCCAGTGAAACCCTGGAAGATGACCTTGGTCTCTCCGTTAATGCGAAGGTTGTTCACAGTCTCAGCATAAGCCGGGCTGGCCGAGGCAGAGTATGCCCGGCGCTGCGTGGCAGCAGCATTGCGAAGGGCAGCGACGGTGTTACGGCGGACGGCCTGCATGGTTGATGGGGAGGGGAAGAAACCCGGTAAGGGGAGATCGGAAAGAGGGGAGAGGTGTGAAAGTGAAGCACTACGAAGGTGCAAGAGAGAGTTTGTGGTTGAGATAGAGAAGAGAGAAGAGAGTAGCCGTTTCAAACGCGCCGGACAGATTCGCTTTGGGGAATTTCGGGACAAAGCTTTAAGCGGATCCGAGTTGTCACGGGCGGTCGGTTGCCTCCCTCGGCCTCGCTGCTCTTTTTTTCCTGTTGCCGTTGTGCTGTTCCGCCGCATCATCTCCCCCACATTATCTTAGCTCTACCCTTCTTTTTTCGGTAGTGGCTATTCAAGATCCAGATCTAGATTGTGTATCTTTACTGATTTGGCCGGTTGATTGATTTTCCTACTTGTCTTTCTTTTTTTCGCCCCGTCGCGCAGTTCGCGTGGTGTGCATTTCACCTCATTCAAGATGGCGACCGCTACAATGACTATGCCGCCACTTCCCAAGTCTAAGAAAAATGCCAAACTTCCCCCGGAGAATGAACGTTTTATGAGAGCTTGCTCCGATATTGCGAATGCCCTCATCCAAGAATATGAAGCGCAACGCGATCCCAAGAAACCCAAGAGAGATATCAACCTCAACAAACTGCGGGGTCAAGTCGCCAAAAAGCATGCCCTGGCTACACAACCCCCATTGACGGCCATTATCGCGGCTGTCCCTGAGCATTACAAGAAATATATCCTTCCCAAGTTGATTGCGAAGCCCATCAGTATGTCTGCGCCTTGTCTTTCCTGCGCTTAGCAATTCTAACAGCCCCTGCTAGGAACCTCATCCGGTATCGCGGTCGTCGCGGTCATGAGCAAACCCCATCGTTGTCCCCATATCGCCTACACCGGAAACATCTGCGTCTACTGCCCTGGTGGCCCTGATTCCGACTTTGAGTACTCTACACAGTCATATACCGGATATGAGCCGACGTCGATGCGTGCGATCCGCGCCCGTTACGATCCGTTTGAGCAGGCCCGAGGACGTGTGGACCAGATCAAGTCTCTGGGTCACAGTGTGGACAAGGTGGAGTACATCATCATGGGTGGAACATTCATGTCTCTGCCAGAGGACTACCGTGAGTCGTTCGTGGCTCAGCTGCACAACGCGCTCAGTGGATACCAGACAGACAATGTCGACGAAGCAGTACAGGCTGGTGAGATGAGTAACGTGAAGTGCGTGGGTATCACGATCGAAACAAGACCGGACTACTGTCTCGACCAACACTTGAGCAGTATGCTCCGCTACGGATGTACCAGATTGGAGATTGGTGTCCAGAGTCTGTATGAGGATGTCGCCAGAGACACAAACAGAGGTCACACTGTTGCGGCCGTCGCAGAAACATTCAAGCTTGCCAAGGATGCCGGCTTCAAGGTCGTCAGTCATATGATGCCGGATCTGCCCAATGTGGGCATGGAGCGTGACCTGTTCCAGTTCCAGGAGTACTTCGAGAACCCGGCTTTCCGAACGGATGGTTTGAAGATCTACCCCACGTTGGTCATTCGTGGAACTGGTCTCTATGAGCTATGGAGGACTGGTCGTTACAAGAACTACACACCAAACGCTCTTATCGACCTGGTTGCCCGCATCCTCGCTCTGGTGCCCCCGTGGACACGTATCTACCGAGTCCAGCGTGATATCCCCATGCCCCTGGTGACCTCGGGAGTCGAGAACGGCAACTTGCGCGAACTGGCCTTGGCACGCATGAAGGACTTTGGCACAACCTGCCGCGACGTACGTACCCGTGAAGTCGGCATCAACGAAGTCAAGAACAAGATCCGCCCATCCCAAGTCGAGCTGATCCGCCGTGACTACACGGCCAACGGAGGCTGGGAGACATTCCTCGCCTACGAGGACCCCAAGCAGGATATCCTGATCGGTCTGCTGCGCCTGCGCAAGTGCAGCCCAACCCACACCTTCCGGCCCGAGTTCACCGGTCAGCAGACCAGTATCGTGCGTGAGCTGCACGTGTACGGATCCGCCGTCCCTCTCCACGGACGTGACCCGCGAAAGTTCCAGCACCGCGGATTCGGAACCCTGCTCATGGAAGAAGCAGAGCGCATCGCTCGCGAAGAGCACGGCAGCACAAAGATCAGTGTTATTTCTGGTGTCGGTGTACGCAGCTACTACGCTCGTCTGGGATACACTCTCGATGGACCGTACATGTCCAAGATGCTGGACCCGATTGAAGACGAGGAGTTTTAAGAACTATCAGAGAAAACAAGCGTTTATGAATATGAATGATGTGCGGTATTGCAACAACACCAACAAACGATACTCGAAACACACAAAAGTCCTTCTTAGGTTATCTGCATGCGGCGTTGCTCGGGGTTGGTTCTCCATTTACACTGTTATCCAGGGGAGCAGTAGCGAAATCGGTATATACCAAAAATGGGCGGGATTAGAGAAACTTGCATTGTACATATGGCGCTTGAGCCGATTTGCTTGCCTACCACTACTACTACTATCTTTATGAGGATGAATGGAATACATGTCATATGTGTATTGAAAGTTACTTGAGCCTTTCTGTTACAGATAGTACTTCACTCGCTGCTACTATTCGTCTATTAACAAACCAACAGTGAAATATTATGATGGATGATGATGATGGATTGAACATAACTGCGGACACACAAGTTCTATTCGAACAAAGACTATATACATATACAACCCGCAAAATACACCAGAAAAAAGAACGGCGCAAAAAAGATCAATCAATCCAAACATCCATCACATCACATCGCAACTGAAGAAGTTATCAATAATCAATCCAATACCACTCCGGCTTTACGATAAGCAAGCGAGGATGGAGTGAGCCTCCCACGATCAGATTGTCATACGTAGCACAGCACACGCAGACAATATCGTCATTCCTTTCCTTTCCTTTCTCTTTCTCTTACATCCAAGGAAAGTATGCCCCCTCCTGGGATAGAATATATGGTACATCTCTCGATGATCCATCCGCATCTGCATCAATACTCCTCTCTCCTTCTCCAGCAAGATAAAGCCAGTAATCCACCTCAAAATCGCAAAGCAATGTAGAATACCCTTTAACTCAACGATATAGCCCCGCCCCTCCGGGCCCTCATGTGCAAGTAAGCCTGGAAAGCGCAGAACACGAAGAAAGCCTATATACCAGACATCAATCGGTTAGCATATCCAATCTTCCTCTTTATTATTCCCTTTCTATCTCCACCCACTCCAATCCATATACATCAGGATTCAGGGATATACACGTACAATATAAACCAACACGGCGGTGAAAATCGAAGCTGCGACCGCGGCGCCATCTTCAGGTTCGCCTTCGGAGCCAGTGAAACCGGGGTGTTCGCTCTGTTCCATGACTCTTTTGTCAGAAAACTCCTTTCCTTAGGCGATAGAGAGAGAGATTGATCGGGTATAAAACGCACCTTGTATAGCGAACCCAGAACGGAGAGGATAACGATGGCGAAGACGGAGATGACCACGCTATTTCATTCAATGTCCCTTGTATTAGCTAGCTGGTCTGGTTCTGGAGGCGCGCTGTGTGGGTGTATTGTGGACGTACCAGGACCATGCGTTTAGGGCGGAGACGACGGGCTTCATCTTGTATGGTGTGATAAGGCTGGAGCAACTTCGGGGGATTGAGAGAGGGAGGAGGGAGAGTCGGGAGTGGCTGGCTGGCGCGGCTCGGGTGGTTGATGGTGATACCCGCTATCCGATGAGATGCGATGAGATGTGCGGACTAGCGATGGGATGGATGTATTGGTCGCTGACGCAGATAAAAGAGTGATGGAACTTTCAGATTGCCTGTCCAGGCTGCCGTTAAGAGAGGGGGATGAGGCCGTTGATGTCGTTGGATGATGTCGAGGATCGCAGGTGCCGGTGGAGACCTCCGGTGTGTTGGCGCTAAGCTGTTTTGGGGCGGGCGGTTGTGTGTCGAGACTTGTTGTCCGCGTCATGGTGTTGCACTGTATGGTTATACTTTGTCTCGTCAGGGGATTGGGTCTTTCAACTTATAGCATATAGTAAATGGGTATTTTAGATCTTGTGAGGTGTTGTTGTTCTTTGAATATGCAAGGTGTGTTAGAAGTAGTGTAGTACTGGTTTCATTCATGGCCTCAGTTGCTTTTAGTAACTGAAATATATATACATCATCTGCCATGTCTCATGTCTATTTTCACCCACAACCATCTCTTCAATCCAACAACCACACCCTAATGCGTCTTGTTCCATTCTATACACTCCTCAAACGTTACCCCAGATCCACCAAAGATATCCAACGCACTTCCAATCGTCAAATCCACCTTCCCTTGACTGCTAACGTGAACCTTCTCCAGATCCTGAAGATTCCGAGCACCTCCGGCATATGTGACAGGGATAGTACACCACTGGGACAGCTTAGACACGAGCTCCTCATCAACACCCTGTTGAAGACCCTCAACATCTGCAGCGTGAATGAGGAATTCGGAACAGTAGGGCTCCAGGAACGCAATTGATTCTGCTTCGGTCAGTTGTATTCATACAATGACTGTAATCACAGCAAGAAAACGGAACAAGCAAAAAAAAAAAAAAAAACCATAGAACAAAACCATGAATCCAAAGCCAAGATCTCATGCTTACCTTGCGTAATCTCCATCTCAGTAATCGTCTGCCAGCGATTCATAGCCACAAACCACGTGTTGCCCTTCTTCCTGCAGCTCAGGTCCAAGACCAGCTTAGACCTATCACCATCCAGCGCAGCAAGAACAGACTGCAGCCGTTCAAGAGAGAACTTGCCCTCCGGGAAGAGGAACGATGTGATAATAACCTGCAATTGCAACATTAGCCATTACACTGCATAACAACACAACCCCCAACCCCCGATCTATCCATCATCCATCCACACCAACAAACCCAACCCCAAACCCCCCTCAAAAAAGAAGAAAGTAGAAACAAAGAAAACCAACCTTCTCAGCCCCCATCTCAACCCAATACTTCGCATTCTGTTCCGTAATGCCCCCCGCAACCTGCAACCCAGCAGGCCAAGTCCTCAACGCCTCCTTAGCAGCCTCATCATTGCCCGGACCAAGCATAACAACATGTCCACCTCTCAAATCATTCTTCCTATACAATTCCGCATAGTGACTGGCCGGCAACTTCGACACATAATTCGTCTTCAGGTCCGCCGCAACACTGCTCAGCGTTCCGCCCACTATTTGCTTCACCTGGCCGGAGTGTAAATCAATGCAGGGACGGAATTTGGTCATTTTGATGGAGGTATCCTCTGAAGTGTCCACCACAAGTCACTCAATTCGTGTGTTTGATCAGTACTGTCGTGAATGAATGAATGACTCTATCTATTCCCCCCCACGGTTTTGTGGAAATCCGACGAGGGGTTGCGCGGATTATCTTATCTGCACGTGATGGGAATTATACAGTATGGAGTGAATTACATAAGCAGTTAGTTTTACGGCAAAGTCGTCACTTATCGCGCGCATTATTTTTTTCCGCCGGGACGAGTGGTTTGGTCGTTCAGCATTTTATTGTTTGGTTTATAGCAGCAACACAAGGAATTGAAAATGGTCGGAAAGCGCAAGAGAGAGGCTGCTGTTGTCTCTAGGACTACGAAGGTGGATGAGGAGGAGAAGACGACGCCACAGACGGAGACGACTGATGCGTCTGCTACGGATATTTTTCGCAAATTCTTTGAGGCGCAGTTCCAACCGTTGGAGGTGCCTGGGGGCCAGGTGACTCGTGGTGATGAGTCGGATGAAGAAGACAGTGAGGATGAGGACTTTGAGGAGGGATCTGAATCGGGCTCTGATTGGGATGGCCTTTCCGGAGAGGAAGACGAGGCTCCGGTTGAGGTGGTTGAGCATCGCGATATCAAGAGTCAGGATTTGTTGGATAAGAAGGCGCGTAAGGCGTTTATGGTATGTCTACGAGTTATGCGTGTGCGGTTATGGGTTCTTTGCTAATTCGCCTTTACTAGACCTCGAAACCACCATCGTATTCCGAAGAACCGAAGCCGGCGAAAAAGAAGGCCAAGAAGGAAAAGAGCGATGATGACGAGGAGGATGCTATGGATGCGGATAACCTGAAGAATGATCTCGCCTTGCAACGGCTTCTGAAGGAGTCCCATCTGCTCGAGTCGGCGAATGAGCTTGCGCCAACCGGTAAAAACCGAATCAAGGCTCTTGATCTCAGAATGCAGGAACTAGGGGCAAAGGCGTCTCTGTATAAGCAGAAAATGCCCACGGCGCACAGAAGAGGCATCAAGGAGAAGGCGGAAATGAAGGAAGATAGGCGCCGACGTGAAGCCAAGGAGAACGGTATCATTCTCGAGAAGCCCGCACCGAAATCAAACCCAGCCAGCACCAAGCGTCGGGAGCGCGGTGTCGGAGGTGCTTCTATCGGAAAATTTGCGGGTGGTGCTTTGAACCTGAGCAAGCGTGACGTGGCCGCCATTCAAGGCCCGCGCCGCACGACAAAGGGCAAGGGCAGGGGCAGAGGACGTCGCTAGGCCTGCCTGAGAGCCATGAATGGCAGTACTAGCCACGCCTGACACCACTCCCAGTCAGATCCCTTTACGTCCCGTGCGCGACCAGAGCGCGCCGCCCTGATTCGACGTGGATTGGCTGTCGAGCGTATCCTAGCCCCAGTAATGCTTACCGGAAGAGGGGTTGTAGTCTGTTTCTTTACATGAGGAACTTTCTGTCAATCCTTCGCCTTCCTCTTGTTCTTCGGCTGTTTCACGAACACGCCCCGACCCCTTTGTGAAGGTTTACCGTGTCCAGACTGCTGTGATAGGTCGGGATCGAGTCCTCGATGTGCCGCAACAAAGGGGAAAGCAGAACGATGCGCCCGCTCGTAATGAGGACGTCGAGATGGCCCCGGCGTCCATGCTGGCTGCAGCCTTGATTCAATGCTGAAACTTCTGATTTGCCCGCTCAAACCTTATTCCCCGAAACGCCTTAAGACAGTGTGCGAAGCACGTTCCAATAGCACCAAACTATGTGTGAGACCGAGCACGCTGTTCCGAATACGGTGATATCCCCGAGTCGAGCTAAGGTTTGAGGACGAGACCCCCAATTCTGAGACAGCCTATGGCCTTAGGACGTTTGAGAAGGTCGACCGACATGAGAATACCCCAGAGGTTGGCCAGTTTTAGCCGCTAGGTGCTGTCTATAAACAGCTGAAGCACGAGTCATCCTAGATAGACGGATCTTAGAAAGCGTCTAGTCTGTTATTGAGCAAAAATAGAACATCTCCATCTCGTATAGAGACACCCGATGAAAGGGCGTCGCATGAACCGACTGTAAACAAGACTTTTAGTACTTTTTAGCTCGATTCCTTGGAGAACTACTATCAAAGTACACGTCAGTTCTCTCCAGTAGTAGCGCTCACCAAATGTTGAGTTGAGAAACCTAGCTTCTCATCTGATCAGTCATACTCCTTTTTTTTTTCCCATCTCTAGCTCGGCCTCGGTTTAAGCCAGCCTAATAAGGACTAGGAGTTTGCCAGTCTGATATGATTGAGTTTGCCAGTTCTGCGGCTACAGGCACACCGATCTGCTACTAGCGGATAAACGTCCCACCCTCAGGCAGTTCCTCTGTCTGCTTATCTAGTCCCGGTGTACCGGGGTACCTGCATGAATAATCCGATATTATTAGGTTAGTGCAATAGCGGTTCCGTGGTTCCAATTCTCTAGTTCAGGTACCGCTGCCGTGAAGGGGAATGGAGAAGCCGCAAAAGGAGAAGAAAAAATTGATGCGAATTGCTAAGGCGTCAATAATAGTTCCCATTATTGTCATGCATCCATCCGGTTTTGTTAGTCATCTCCCACTAAATTCTGCATGCTCGTGCCTTTGCACGAACCACAAGCCATGAGGCGGGACAGGGAGACATCTTCGTCGTTTCAGATTCTGCACGTAACCATTCCGAGCAGTGTACTTTGACACTTGCACCGGAATCGCTTGGAATTGTCGCTTAGTACGAGTCAGAAGTCTGAGTCGTAACCCGTAGATACAGGGTGGTTGGTGCCTTCTGGAGAAGTCTAGACGATATCGTGCAAGCTGGACCTGGATCATTGCCGACTACACTTGGCATTTATCACCCCTTTAAGCGGAAGTCCACCGAATCGCGCATGAAGCCGGATTGGTGTCTATAGCGTGTTGTTGTTGATAGCATGATGCGGATTTGGAGTATCCATGTCTAGTGACAGAAAATGCCGCTATATGATCCTTCATGCAGGAACGTGGGAAGAAAATGCGTAATCCCCGCTCTTAGTGCTAACCTACCTGCTTGGCATCTTGACAATGCACTAGATAGCTGGTGTGATTAGGCCCATGGATATCTTTTCACCTTAGTAGACAGGTATGATGGAAAAAAGTCATCTGTGGTCCTCACTATCGAGAAGTCAACAATGTGGAGGATCGAGAGACAAGGGCAAGCTAGCTGATCGATCTATGGCCTGGGCAGAAACTTAGAGGAAAGAGGTGGATTCGCGGACACGGAATTCCAGCTTTCTCCGTTGGTCGCCATATAGAATATAGGCTAATCCCAAAACCCGAGGTTTAAACGGGGAGAGAATAAGGCCGCTGATCATCTCCATTCCGATATATCCGGCCATTTCATTTGGTTACTGGCGGAGCGAGATTCTCCAGGGAGCCAATGTTATTGTCTTGGGTCTCGGAGGCTTATTGGCATGGTTCACGGATTTATATCAGTTTGTGGGATAGTACGACTGTCGTCAACAAGCGACTATTGTATGTGCGAAATCCTAGGTAAAAGAGGCCGACCAAGCTGGCCTACTAACCACTGAACGTATCGGCCATCCGGAAGAGATCGATGTATCAGGCTGGGAGGATCAGCATGGGGACGGCGCATTCGCTACGCATTCCACTAAGGAGCTGACAGTTGTAAACAGAAGCCGGATGGACGCGACTCTAAGCTCCCCCGCACGTTCTCGAGTCAGGCCGGGAGGTTTCATCTTGGACACTACTCCAGCTTAGCTGCATCGCTAGATACGAGACATAAGCTATCACCAGAACAGAAGGTAGAGATGTAGAAAGATGGACCTAGCGTTGGTCCGGCCTCTGTTTGATCGCCCTGAGCTTCCTATCTCATATCCCCGACAGATGGCAGTCCAGGCCGAGGCCGAGTGCGGCACAGACTCATTCAGTAAGAGATAGATGTTGCCCGGGTGGTCCTGGCAGTGACGGATGCCGGAAGTTGGAACAGTGCTGGACTTTTCTAGATGGTTTCAGGCCTGACGATCAAACCCAAGCCCGTTGCACAGAGAGCGGGCCAAGCCTTCCCTTGCTGGAAATGCAACCTTTCTTCTTCGCAGCAGGACAGAAAGGGTAAGTCAAAGTAGAATGGTCTTTTTCTGAACTAACTTACCACTAAGTCACTAAATAACGAGCTAATGCCGGCTTTACCAATTGCGACCTTGTGGTCAGCAAGCCGGCAGAGGCGGCCGTAATTTATGGCCCCATTAGGTCTCCATCGAGAACCCCATGGAATCCAGGCACAATTGCCTATTCCGGCCTGGTTGCCACCCACTTAGGGTCTGGAAGGATTCAACCGTCAGGGGAGAGCTTGAGTTTCCAAGTTGTCCTTAGTACCACTTAGCATCTTCGATGGGGTATTGGAGTACTATCTACTGGCACTATTTGCTATGCTAACCTTAGTCTCGCTATGCTTCCGACTGTTGCTACTGGATTCGAGCCATCCCGACTCCATCCTAACTCCATCCTAATCCCCATCTTTACGCCGTTCTTCCACATTGTTTCGCAACAACTCCGAGAACTATTGCGAGATATCGTGAGAACTTACGTAGTCTGCTCCGAAGAGGCGTCCAGACTAAAAGACATGGCTTTGGATAACTCTAAATGTGTATGGGTGCGAGCTATCGGCGCCCTCTCGGGATGCTCGGTCTTTCGGACTTCTCCCAAATGCAGCAACCAGCCTCCGGCATTTTTGACTGGGTCTTCGGAGAATTTATCATGGGTAGCAAGGGGTCTCTTCCCACCGACCCTGATCGATGACAGTGCTCAGATATCAGCCTGTCTATTTTTGTGTTTTCTTGGTGGTCCCTGACCTCTCCTGACCGGCATACTCATGATGCACCCCCTTTTTTTTGCCCAGCACACGCAGTCGTTGTAGTCTGCACAGTGCACGGTGACTATCTCTGTAGGTCTTTCTCTCTTTCTCTGCGGACATTCAGAATTCGGCCGAAACTGTGGAGTAGACTACTACTTAC